AAGTTGGAGACATCTGTACACTGGCCACCTCGACCTGTATCTTTCGGCATGCATCTCATTAACTAAAATCCAAGATTAGTTTATTATTATTATTTTTTTTATAGAACTGGTCCTCCTCCCTCCCTCCCTCCCTCCCTCCCTCCCTTTTCTCCCTCCCTTTCTTCCTTCCTTCCTTTCTTAAATTCCTCGGGGAATTCTACCCGGATGACCCAGGATAGTGGGGAAAAGTCTCCCACATCTGGGGGCCTGCTGATTAAGACACCCAAGAGGGACCTTTTGTTCCACATGGGCATTAGAATCCCTGGCTTCACCTCTTACTAGCTGTGTGGTCTTTGGGGGGGGGAGTTATATCACGCGTCTCCAAGGATCAGTTTCTTCATCTATAAAAAGGGCTTAAGAAACACACTTACTGGGGCACCTGGGTGGCTCAGTTGGTTAAGCGGCCGACTCTTGATTTGGGCTCAGGTCACGATCTCAGGATCATGAGATCGAGCCCTGCGTCGGGTTGAGGGCTCAGCACAGAGTCTGCTTGAGATCCGCTCTTTCCTTCTCCCTCTGCCCCTTCCCCCACTCGCTTGCGCTCTCTCTCCCTCAAATGAATAAATTAATAAAATCTTTAAAAAAAAAAAAAAGGAAAGAAAAGAAACGCACTTACTTCTTAACACAGTCATGAGGAGTCACTGAGACTCCACGCATGAAGCACCTGGCATGGTGCTTAGCACTTAGTAAATGTGCAGTTAATGACAGTTACGGCTCTTTTGAAGAGGCTACTGCATGAATATCCTAGAACAAACTCCTTTTCTTGGGGCGGTAGGGTTCAGTCTCTGTTCCAGGCAAGCAGACGCATTTTGGCCTGATCTGCCTGAGAACTGGTGAATGGGTAGGTTGAATGTGAGATCAAGGCCTGGAAATCCCCTTGGCTTACCTTTGTCCTCAGGTGGCAGGAAACTCCCTACCAAGGGTCTTTGATCTGGCCAGGAAGCTGGAGCCCAGGAAGGCCCGCCCAGGGAGGGGTGCTTCAGGCCCAGGCTGAGGGTGGCAGGTAGGGAGGGGGATCAGCTTCCATGGAGGGAACGCTCACCTGGTGTGTGTCCACAGACCCCGGTGGTCTGCCCACGATGGGAAATGAAGACACCAATTTTGCAGTGCTGGGAGCTGGTGACACGTGGTTGCACCTTAGATGTTTTCCGGGTGGTTCAGGAGCTGCACGTTGGTTAACACACGAGCCCCGCAGGGAACTAGGAGAAGAGTTTGCCTTGTGGAGACCAAGTTTGCGACTGGCTGCTCCTGGGCCAGAGTCACCCACAGACAGCTTTTACTTATTTGTTTAGAATTGAATATGTTGCCAACATTTGTTTCAATGTGGAGATTATAGATGAGGAGGTCTTGAGAAATCAGATCCGGCAACTGTGGGCCCACCTTCCTGCGAGGCAGCCATGGGCTGAATTTGATCAGCCCATTCATTGGGACACAGGAAGACCAGTTTTTTACTGTTCTGTGAGCATTCTCGGCCTGGCGCGGATGGCCTCTAGGCTTGGATCCCTCACAGAGCACCGAGAAGGAGACAGGCTCCAGCGTTTACGGTTCAAGACAGAGTGAAGTGAGTTTGGGGGGGTGGGGGGGTGGCGAGATGTAGGCCTCCTGGGGACACAGGCGGTGTCTGAAGCCATTTCCAGTCGCCTCGACTCCAGGAGGGTGCTGCTGGCCTCTAGTGGGTGGAGGCCAGAGATGCTGCTCAATAGCCCCCAGGGCACCTAGGGCAACTTACACAATATGGCCTTACCCAGTCTCAAGGGTCAGTAGAGACCCGGGATTAGGGGTGTCAGCAAACTGCTCAGGAAGGGAAGGATCGACTCGAATCATTAGCTCAAGAATGTCTCCCTGAACAGAAGCAGCCTTGGTGGTGGCAGGCACTTGGTGACTGAGCCAGGTTTCACCAGGGAGGGATTGGAGGGAACGCACGTCAGGCCAAGAACAGCACGAGCAAAGGTGAGGAGGCATCTTTGATGGGAGAGGCAGGTGAGAATGTGCACAGTGAGATGACACGAGTGGCTCAAGAGCATGAAGTCTGGGGTCAGATGGACGTTCACTTGAATGCTGGCTCTACCCCGCACTGGCCCTGCGGCCTCAGGCCTGTCATTGGCCTAAACCTCCCTCACGTCACCTGAAAAATGGGCCTAAGAAATGAGGTTATGTGGGTACAGCCTCATCTCATCCCCAGTCTTCCATTTGCACCCTGCATCCCAGCCACCCTGAAATTCTGGCAATTTGCTCAATGCTTCCTGCTCCCTCTCTCCTCTCTGGGCTCTCTGTGTGGAGTGCCCTTTCTCCCTAGGATGCTCATATTCCAGGTGTATGGATCACACCATCAGGAGGCTTAAACCAGGCACTGATATGTTCAGACTGGTGTTTTGGAAAGATCAGGGAACTTGAGGGTTGCGTGTGCCCGTGTGTGTGCCCGTGTGTGTGTGTGTGTGTGTGTGTGTGTGTGTAAACCTGAAGGCCAAGACAATGGTGGAAATTCCCAGGCTCAGACAAGAGGCATGAGAGCCTCTGCCTTTATCCCAGCTCCTTTCCCTGTCTTCTCTGGCCTTCAGGTACCTAGGGAAAGGCCAGTAGGGACCCACCACACATGAAGGGTTGGATTTTCTTTATTTTTTTTTTAAGATTTTATTTATTTGAGAGAGAGAGAGTGAGCACACACACAAGCGGGGAGGGGCAGAGGGAGAGGGGAAGCAGACTCTGTGCCGAGCAGGGAGCCCAACATGGGGCTCGATCCCAGGACCCTGAGATCACGACCTGAGGCAAAGGCAGATGCTTAACTGAGTCATCCAGGTGCCCCAAAGGGTTGGATTTTCTGTTGGTTAATGTGCCTGCTTCCTTCTCAACCCAGTGGCCTGGTTCATAGATGAGGTGTAGAGGCCAGGACCCCATAGAGGTTATTGCAAGAGAGCTCAAGGGTAAGCTGCTTAGCTTTCCTGAGCCTGTTTCCTTATCTGCGTAGAACACAGTCTTTACAGAGTGTGGGAGAATACTCCCTACAAAGCTCTTAGGACAGGGCCTGGCTCCATGTCTTAACTGCTTTATAAAGACCAAGCTCTTGCTGAATACCCGCTGTGTGTTCTCTGTATTCAGTACAACATATGTATGTATGTACTGCCGGAGGTCCTACGAGTACAAAGTCTTCTAAGGACTGGTCTTGACTTTAAGGATTGGCCTGGTTAAGGATTTGTGGATTTTGCTAACTGGAGACATACAATGTTGAGGGAAAATTCCATTTCTAGGCATTTATCTGCAATATATGTACAAAGATTCAGGTCCAAGTAGGTTCACAGTAGTGATTTTATAAAATGAAAAATTTGAAATGGTCTTAATGTTCAACTATAGGATACTGATTAAACAGGTGGTCTGACTAATGGAATATTACGCATTTGAGAGGAAGCAGAGGGATATTGTTATGGGAAAATGTTATTATTAAGTGAAGAAATATAGAAAACATTATTTGTATATCAAAAATATATATGTGTATATTTTTTAAATATGGATGTTAATACACTCAAAAGTTAACAGTGGATATCTCTGAGTGATTTTTACAATTTTTTTGTTATTCCAGATCTCCCTTTCTAAATGTTCTACAATGAATGTGCATTTCTTTTGTTATTTTAGGTTTTAAATTATTTTGTTATTAAAATATAATAAAAATAGTACTGAAAGGGGCAATTTTTTAAAAAGATTTATTTATTTATATGAGAGAGAGAGAGCACATGAGAGGGGGGAGGGTCAGAGGGCAAAGCAGACTCCCTGCCAAGCAGGGAGCCCAATGCGGGACTCGATCCAGGGACTCCAGGATCATGACCTGAGCTGAAGGCAGTAGCTTAACCAACTGAGCCACCCAGGCGCCCATGAAAGGGGCAATTTTTTTATTAATTTTATTTTATTATGTTATGTTAGTCACCATACAGTACATCAGTAGTTTTTGATGTAGTGTTCCATGATTCATTGTTTGCATATAACACCCAGTGCTCCCTGCAGAACGTGCCCTCCTTAATACCCATCACCAGGCTAACCCATCCCCCCACCCCCCTCCCCTCTAGAACCCTCAGTTTGTTTCTCAGAGTCCATAGTCTCTCATGGTTCGTCTCCCCCTCCGATTCCCCAGCTTCATTTTTCCCTTCCTACTATCTTCTTCTTCTTCTTCTTTTTTTTTAACATATAATGTATTATTTGTTTCTGAGGTACAGATCTGTGATTCTTCATTCTTACACAATTCACAGCGCTCACCATAGCACATACCCTCCCCAATGTCCATCACCCAGTCCCCCCATCCCTCCCACCCCCCACCAGTCCAGCAACCCTCAATTTGTTTCCTGAGATTAAGAGTCTCTTATGGTTTGCCTCCCTCTCTGGTTTCATCTTGTTTCATTTTTTCCTCCCTCCCCCTATGATCCTCTGTCTTGTTTCTCAAATTCCTCATATCAGTGAGATCATATGATACTTGTCTTTCTCTGATTGACTTATGAAAGGGGCAGTTTTACCAGCTGTCCCTGCCCTCATCCCAGCCTTCTCCCTTGACTCGATTCTTCATCACTCCCAAAATACATGGGCTCATCAAGCTACTATTCCTTCCAGTATTGACTAGTATTGATTAACCTCAGAGTAATCCTACCACGCAAGGCAACGTAAAGATGAATACTCACATTCTCCAGGTTACTTGCATGCACATCAAATTTTGAGGTGCGTTGAAACAAGTTCTTTCCCTCCCTCGTTCATTTATGTATTCCCTTGTAATTCGCTTCACCCAATTCATTCATGGGTTGGGAACGTTTATTTACTTGATGTACGCATGAGCACTCCCGAAGGATGGAGGAGGCCGCTGGACCGGGAAGCCCCGCCTCCTGACGCCGACCATTGCTCCGTTTCGTCAGAGCGCCTCTGATTGGTGGCCACTGACCGGGCCCCGCTGCCTATCAAAGTTGGCGGGAAAGCGGAGGCGGGGCAGCATGGCGGCCGCGGTGGAGGCTGCAGGGGCCGGGGACGCGGCTCCAGGCGCCGGGGACTCGGCTCCAGGCGGCGGCCCGGCCGCCGTGCGGCTGCCGCGGTCGCCGCCGCTCAAGGTCCTGGCGGAGCAGCTGCGGCGCGACGCGGAGGGCGGCCCGGGTGCGTGGCGGCTGTCGCGAGCGGCGGCGGGCCGCGGGCCCCTGGAACTGGTGACCGTGTGGATGCAGGGCACGGTGGTGGCGGCGGGCGGCGGCGAGGCGCGGCTGCGGGACCCGAGCGGGGCCTTCTCAGTGCGCGGCCTGGAGCGGGTGCCGCGCGGGCGGCCCTGCCTCGTCCCAGGTAACGGCCGGACTCGGACGCGGAGCTGACCCTGGTTGTGGGCGGCCGGAGGGCGGGGCTGGCTGGTCCCTGACCGGTACCCCGCCGCGGTACCCTTCCTCTCTGTTCCCCGCCCGCGGCCAGGCCCAAGTCCCTTCCCCACGGATGATTTTTTTCCCCTCCCCCATCAAGTTTTGAAAAACGCTGTTACCAGGAAGCCTCTGTTCATCCCTAACGTTTAGACTCGAGTGTGCCTTCCTCCTGGAAGCCCTCCATGACTTCTAGGAATGGAAAGCTCTCCAGTACCTCTCCTTGGAACTGCCTTAGACTGCAGTTCTCAGATGTTTGCCTCTTAAATCAGCGGGGTGCTCAGACTTCCCTGGGGGCTTCTTAGGTCGCAGAGATCTGGCCGCCACCCTCAGAGTTTCTGTAGGCCTGGGTGAGGCTGAGAATTTGCATTTCTAACCAGCTCCCTGGTGTTGCTGATGCGGATGGCCTGGCCATGGGGCCACACTTTGAGAACCACTGGGCCAACCGACTGGAGGACCAGGACTGTCTTTATGATCTCTGTATCTTCAGCGTTATGTTGAATTCCTGGCTCTGTTCTTTTCCAGCTGAGCCGCCTGGACCACTTTCCTTAACCTTTCTGGATCTGTCCTGCCTGGGTCAAAAAGGGGACTGTTGTGCAGATTCAGTTAAAAGAAAAATGGCCTCAACACGGTGCCTGGCTCACAATGAGGGTTCAAGACTTCATGACTGTCATTCCTGTGCTCCTGTTCCCTACCCCTCGCCCCAACCTTCAGCCTCCTCTCTCAGTCCTCTCCGCTGTTGCATTATTGAAGCATAGGATCAGCAAACCACAGGCTGCTGCCTCTTCAAATGGCCACGAGCCATTTTTTTTTTTTTTTTTTTGCATTTTCAAATGGTTCAAAAAATCAGAGGATGATTTCATGACATATGAACAGCCTAAGAAATTCAAGTATCTGGAGGCCGGAGCTACATTTGGGAAAAATCACGGCACCAGCAGGGTAGGGATGGTTGTGAAAAGGAAACAGCTGGAGGCGGACCGGCTGGAAGCAGTTGGTCTGGTCCAGGCCAGCGGATGAAGGCCTGGTGGAAAGGACGGGGTATGGTGGGGAAGGAGTGGTGAGACAGTGGGGAGACACTGCTGGGGGCAGAGAGGGTGTGGGTAGAATGAACCCTACTAACCAGGCTGTCTTATCGCCAGAGGAGCGAGCTCATGCCAGTGAGCTAGCTCATCCCTTTAGTTGTGTGTGCCTTCATGTAGATTTCCTGTTACCCTCCCCTGGCTGGGATCTCCTTGGGCTTGGTCGTCCTTCCTGGGGTCCTCAGTCATTCTTTTTCTGAGGGTTCTGTCTCTACCAGCACTTGAGAGTCTTCTGGGAGGTATTGGCAAAGTGTAGTTTGAGAACTAGCTCCTGTCACCGAGGAGCCCCATGTTACTTGCTCAAGTAAAATCTGGAGGTGGGTTCAGAGGAACCTAATTACATGGTGCATCGTGCAAGGGGTAGCAATCCAGAGAGGCAGGTGTCAGCTTGCCAGGCTTCCTTCAGCCAGAGCCTGGGGGGCCTGCATGCAAACTCAGCCCTGCTGTTAGAAGCAGTGTGATTAAAGCAGCCTCGAAGGGGCATGCAGTGGGGGCTGGCAGAGTGCCTGCCCTTCCTACTGTGTTTGGGGTTTTTTACACAATTGAGTTTTGTGTGGTTAAGATTGGCCAAGTTTTGCTTTCAAGGAGAGCCACTTCCCCAAGGGAATGGGAAGAGAGTCGTGGTTAATATGTCATGAGATCATCCCAATGGCAGCCTGCTCTGTTGTTGATTTGCTAGCATGTGCCCGGCTGGTGGTAGGGATTGGTGCTGGGCAGTTGGAACAACGGGGTGGCACAGCGGGGTGCTGTGGTATGCCTAGCTCCTCTGGGCATCAAGGGAAAGTTGGATTTGCTTTGGGGCCATCAGGGGATATCTTTGCAGCAAGAGGACTGGTCCTGTGCACAGAGATCAGCCACATACTCTGAGGCATTGGGCAAGAAACAGATAAGAGAAAAGCTTAGGGGTTTTACCCCTGCCTTAGAAAAGTCTAATTATAACTCGTAACTCAGATGTGAGTCTCTTCCATTCCTTAGGCGTGATTGTTTTGTGCATGATGGTAGCTTGCTGCAATTTTGTTTTACGATTTTTAAATTTTTTTTTTTTTAAGATTTTATTTGTTTGCGAGAGAGAGAATGAGAGATAGAGAGCATGAGAGGGAGGAGGGTCAGAGGGAGAAGCAGACTCCCCGCCCAGCAGGGAGCCCGATGCCGGACCCGATCCCAAAGCCAAAGTTAAATGTTGATATCTACTCTCTGCATTTTTTTGTTGTTGTTCTCTCTTTTGCTTGTCTGATAAAGTTAAGCTCTGAAGGATGGGGTATCTATTTCGTTTCTGTATCAATGTGAACATCACCGTGGGCTTCTCTTCTTGTAGGAAAGTATGTGATGGTAATGGGAGTGGTGCAGGTGTGCAGCCCCGAGCCGTGCCTTCAGGCTGTGAAGATGACAGACCTCTCCGATAACCCCATCCACGAAAGCATGTGGGAGCTAGAAGTGGAAGATTTACACAGGAATATTCCTTAGATGACACTGGAACCCTTGCTAATAACAACTGAAATCCTAAAAAAAAAACAAAAACAAAAAAACAACCGGAATCCTGAAACAATTTAGGTTCTTATACCATGTAGATTTCACTTTTTCTGAGGGTTCTGTCTCTACCAGCACTTGAAGAGTTTTGCTTTGGTTGAGGAAGGAGTCTGGCCGTAGGATTTCTAAGCGCTGGGACACCCACTTAACTCAGTCCTTGATGCCCTTTGCTTTGAAGACTATTTGCAGATGAAAAGCAGATGTGTGCTCCGTTTTGTTTATTTTTTTTCCCCCTTCCTTTTGGTTTATGTGTGTTAATTGTTCTTTAAAGCACGTGGAAATCTCATGTTGCATTTTCCAGGTTTTATAAGTGATGGTACTTTTTCCGTTGCCGCTGGGACCCTGTTTTTACGATGTTGAGGTTGAATCTCACTCATTGCCCGTGGTGATTAAACTGGTTGTGGGCCGGGAAGCAGACCGCTTGGGAATGACATCATGGCCCGCCTCTTCTCCCATCAACGACTTCCATGTCCAGCTTGCAAGTCAAAACAGTGTTTTCCTGCTGTGGGCACCAGCAGCCTCTCAAAGACAGCCCTCCCTGCTGCCGGGGTCTCCGAGCAGTTAAGGTACATTTCCTGGAGATACTGAGGGTTAACACCTGCCGTTCTGCCTCACTTGGAGTTGTTGAAACACTTAGAAAATTTCTTTTGAAACTAACATCAAGACTGAGAATGACTTTTAGGCATTAACTAAACTTCTGCCTCGGAACTTCTGGTGAGATGCTGCAAGGGAGCAACGTCCTGGTGTAGAGGGTTTTTTTGTTTTTTTTCCTCCCAGTGTTATTGAAATATAATTGACATACAGCACTGGATAAGGTGTGCAGCATAAGCATCTTAGAGTTCTAACATTTTCTGGGTGGAATGACTTTTTGTTGTAATTATATTCACTGCTCTTTTACCCATACCTTATTTTTCCCAGGATTGTAAATATTCCTATATTCCTGTAGAGTTTTGTTGGATTATTGATCTTTTACCACTAATAAATTATTTTATATGCTGTATCTTTTTAAGATTTATTTATTTATTTGAGAGAGAGAGAATGAGCAGTGGGAGGGGCAGAGGTAGAAGGAGAAGCAGACTCCCCGCTGAGCAGGGAGCCCGACTCGGGACTCGACCCCAAGACCCTGGGATCATGATCTGAGCCGAAGGCAGACGCTTAACCGACTGAGCCACCCAGGTCCCCCCTTTTTAAAAAATAGACTATTTGGGGGATACCTGACTGTCTCAGTCAGTAGATCATGGGACTCTTATTGTCGGGATCATGAGTTCGAGCCCCACGTTGGGCGAGGAGCCTACTTTTAAAAAATAGACTATTTTTTAGAGTAGCTTTAGGTTTATAGAAAAAAGCAGAAGGTACAGAGTTCCCGTATACCCCATCCCTCAGGTTCTTCTATTGTTAATACCTTGCATTGGTGTGGTATGTTTGTTATAATTGAGGAGCCACATTGATAAAACATCACTAGCTAAAGTCCACACTTTTCATTAGGGTTCTTGCTTTGTGATCCATAGTTCTACAAGTTTCTCAAAGACGTAATATCATGTATCTACCATGATAGTGTCATACAGAATTGTATCACCACCCTGAAAATCCTCTGTGCTCCACCTGTTGACCCCTCCCTCTCCCTCAGCCCCTGGCAACCGCTGATCTTTCTATTGTCTCCATAGTTTGCCTTTTCCAGAATGTCTGATAGTTGGAATCGTACGGTGTATAGTCTTTTCAGACTGGCCTCTTTTCACTTAGCAATATGCATCTAAGTTTCCTCTGTATATTTTTGTAACTGGATTGCTCATTTCTTCTTATAGCTGAATAATACTCTATTGTATAGATGTACCCTAGTTTATTTATCTATTGGAAGACATTTGTTTGATTCCAGTTTTTGCCGGTTATTAATAGAGCTGTTAGAAACATTCGTGTGCAGATTTTGTGTGGACACAAGTTTTCATTTCTATGGGCTAAATGCCTGGGAGCACCAATGGTGGTCATACACAAGCCTGTGTTAGCTTTTGGGAGAAACTGCCAGACTGTCTTCAGTCCATTCAGGCTGCTCTTATAAGATACCATAGACTGGGGGTGGGGTTTAAAGCCACCGACATTTAAAATTTTTTCAGTTCTGGAAGCTTTGGGAAGTGCAAGATGCCGGCGGATTCAGGGTGCCTCTTCCTTTTCATAGATGGCTGTCCTCACATAGTGGAAGGGGTGAGGAGCTCTCTGGGGTCTCTTTTATGGGCACTGATCCCACCCATGGGGGCTCCACCCTCATGACCTCATCACCCCCCAAAGTCCCCACCTCCAAATACCATCACATCAGGGGTTAGGTTTCAACGTAGGAATGTGGCAGAGGGGACACATGCTCAGTCTTTAGTACTGTCTTCTGGAATGGCTGCACCGCTTTGCTCTCCTATCAGCCATGTATGAGAGTCCTCGTTACCCTATGTCATCACCAGCATCTGGTGTTGTCAGTGTTTTGGTGTTTTGCGTTTGCAGTTTTTTTTTTCTGATGGTAGTTCTATTTTATTTTATGTTTTTAAACGTCTAAAGGCAAGGCAAATTGGAAAGCACACGCTGTTTTTATTACTGACCTGGGGTTGTGGACTGCTTGAAGCTTGGTTTCAAGCCAGCCTCTGTTCAAAGTTTGGGGATTTTTCAGGCACTGTTGCCGAGCTTTATCAGGAACTTTGCAGCGGGTGGACCTGAACGTGAGCCGTTTATGTGTCATTATACTTGCTGTGTGACTGTGAGCAAGTTAACTAACGTCTCTGTGCTTTACTTTGCTCATCTCATAAAAACCCAGATTTCCCCCAGCTCCTGGCACCAATATGAGGAATAAATGAAGATGCACAGAAATCACTTGTACATGCACCTGGCACATGGCAGGCACCGAGTGATTGTTTCTGGGAGGAGGAGTGAGTTCTTATAGCCACCGACTGCCTTGAAAAAAATTTTTTTTAAGAATAATTTTAGATCTACAGAAAACCTGTAGAGACAGTACATAGAGTTCCCATATACTGCAACCAGTCTCCTTTAGGATTAACATCTTACGTTAGCATGGCATATTTGTTAGGATTAATGAAGCACCACGGAGATGTTATTATTAACTAAAGTCTGTACTTTATTCAGACTTCCTTCATTTTTTTTTTTTGTAACGTCCTTTTTCTCTTCCAGGATCCCGTCCAGGATACCCTGTTCTATTTAGTCGTCATGTCTCCTTAGGGCTCCTCTTGGCCGGGACCGTGGCCCAGTTGCTTTGATTACATGCACATTTAATGCTGACATAGTCCATGGGATCTCCGTTACAGGATCCTCAGCGGAAAACATGATTTCACTGTTGTTACAGGGCTCCCAATAGGAGTCCTCGATCTGGGACCTACCCAGAAGTCTGCTCTCTTGAGCCTTGCCCCCTTCCCCGAAACCCGCTTTCCTGCTAGAAAACGGACCCCAGGCTGCCGAGAACCTTTCCCTGTCTCCCATGCCGTTTGTTCTCACCTAACTTTGGTAAATAGTGCCTGGTTGAGAAATGCTGATTGAGCTCATAGGGTGGCCTGGGCAGTGACCTCTGTCAGGTTGTGGGAGGTGGGGACCAGAGGGTGCCCGGGGTTTTTCCGACAGTCCCCGCGCCCTGCCTATGGCTCCCAGGGGCTCCGTGCTGGAAGTGTGTCGCCTCAGCATGGTGGCCCCAGCCCTTGTGGTTCCCCTGAATATTAATAGATCTCACCGATTCATAGCATTTCCTCCTTGACATCACTAAACGAAAACGCATCTCGGTTGGGGGTTTTAGTTTTCTGGAGCCAAATCACAGTTGGTTTATCAGCAAGCCCCCCCCCCCACTTCCCCAGCAGATGAGGGCAGGCTGTGTGTGCTCCCGCCACCCAGCTTCCCTTTTGAAATGGCCTCTTTTCTAAGAACTGAAAATAAGCACCCTAGGCCGTGACTTCACTTTTCTTGGAACTGCTTTACATTAGAAGAAGAAAACACACACACACACACACACACACCTTCATTTAGCTGGTTTTGGATCACTGAGTTCCCTTGTCATTCCTGCTGCGTCTTCTTGTAAAGCCGAAGTTTTACCGCAAAATTCTGATGCATCAGGAGAAGCAGGAAAGAGAAGCAGTGACCCTGTGAAACAGTCGAGGGTTCTGTGTCCTGGCCCATTCCGGTATTATTTAATGCCAGAGGAGGGAACAAGCTCGGATGGACATACTGTGGGGTGATGTTCAGGTCCCCAGGGTCTCAGGCATGACTGTGTGGCCCTGAGAGTTGTCAGGCCACCAAATGGGCTAGGGCTGGTGTCGCTAAAGCCCAGGCCACAGTCCAGACTCACCACTGAACAGCTGCCTGTTTGCAAGGATAAGGAGAAAAAAAAAAAGCACTTTCAGCCACAATGACCTACATTGTAGCAGGCATTTTGGAGCGTGCAAGAGGATGTCTCCAGTGAGCCCCTGCTTGCTTAGGCTAAGGGAGAGAGTGCCTGAGTCACACCGGGGCTCCAGTCCTAGTCCTGCCCTTTCCCCGCTAACCTTGAACTTAGAGGTCAGTCTCTGGGAGCCATGGAGCTAGTTCTTCCCTTACAGGATGCTACCTTAGTAGGTTCGTGGGAACCGGAGTAGATGCCCCTTCTCAGTGGGGATCTCTATAGATAGGCACATACATTGTTCTGAAATCATCTGTTAGTATCTCTGTACCCATCGGAGGAGGCTTTCCCGTGATGTGGTCAGGTCTTATCTATCTCTGCCCCAAGCAGGGCCTTGCAAGACCTACGTGGGCTGTCAGTAAAGGTTGGGTGAATGGCTGCATTTTAGGTCGGAAGACAGAGGGAATCCACAGGGAACAATGCTCTTGAGTTTACACTTGGCACACAACAGTGTTCAAACAAGAGGAGCCCTTACAGGCCATGCCTAACGAAAAGCACCCTTTGAATTGAGCACCCTGGGTAATGT